TCATTCCAGCATCATCACACAAGGACTGAAACTCTTTTAATAGAAACTCTCCACCCCTATCTGTTCGTAGGCAAAGAATAGGTACCCCAGTTTCCTTTTCTACTTGAACCTTATACTTTTTAAACCAGTCCAGGGCTTCTGACTTAGCAGCTAAGAAGTAAACCCATAACTTTCTGCTAAAGTCATCAATGAGTGTGAAAACATACCTCTTTCCACTCTTAGACATAGGAGTAATAGGACCACAGAGGTCAGCATGCACCAATTGAAGTGGTTTGGTTGCTCTCCACTGGCTTTTCTTGGGAAAAGCTGCCCTGGTCTGTTTGCCTAGTTGACATGTAGCACAGACTCCCAATTCTCCCTTCAGATCAGGTACACCTTTCACCAGATTGTTCTTTTGCATTTTCAGAATTCCTTGAGGATTCAAGTGGCCAAACCTTCTATGCCACAACACAAGAGATGTATCTTTACTGTCAGTAGTCAGACATTGAATATCTGATGATTCTGCAGCTTTCTTAGAGGTGGTTTGTAATACAAACATCCTGTTGCTCTTCATATGAGTTTCCAGCAACAGACCCTTTGTTTCATGTACTATTCTGCAGACATCACGTTTGACCAGAAACTCCAACCCTCTTTCTTGCAACTGTCCCATGCTCAGCAGATTAGTTTGCAGACTTGGAACAAAAAAGACATTCTGGATAACCAAAGTGAAATGCTCCAATGGTAATCTTATTGTCCCTTTCCCAGTTACCTCGAGTCTGCTATTATTTCCAAGTCTTACTTGTCCAGTATGACTGAAATTGATGCTGTCAAACCAGTCTTTGTTTCCACTCATGTGATTTGAGCAGCCAGAATCCAAAAACCACCAGTTTTCCATATTTGCCTGACGAGAATCCTCCAGAAATGCCATCAAAGGTACGTCATCAGTCATATCAGTTTGAGTATAATTGGACTGGTGCTGATTTGGATACCAGCTAGGACACTCATACTGATAATGACCAAGCTTATGGCATCTAAAACACTCAACTTGATCCTTACTCCAGCCTCTACCTCCCCTTCCTCGACCTCTGGCTTGATAACTTCCCCCTCTGCCAAACCTGCCTCCTCTCCCTCCAGAATCATGAGAGATCCTGAGAGCCTGCTCTTCTTCAACAGTAGTAGTAGACCTCTTGTGAAACTTCTGTTCATGGACTAGCAGAGAACTTTGAAGAGCATCCACAGAGAGAGTCTCAATATCTTTGGACTCTTCGATGGAACACACCACATAATTGAATTTCTCTGTCAAAGTTCTAAGTATCTTCTCAACTACTTTAACATCAGGCATGTCTTCTCCACAATTTCGCATATCATTAGCCACAACCATAACTCGACTGAAATAAGCTGTCACAGTCTCACCTTCTTTCATTTCCAATACCTCAAAAGTTCTTCTGAGAATCTGCAATTGAGCCTTCTGTACTCGAGCACTACCCTGGTACTTGATCTTCATGGCATCCCAGAGTTGTTTAGCAGTAGACTTCTTGGTGATAGTCTTCAGAATAGACTTGTCAATTGAACTAAACAAGTAGTTCTTGGCTTTGAGATCCTTTAACTTCAGATCGTCCAAGTTCTTGCTTTCAGCTGCTGACAGGTCCACTCCAGCAACTGGTTCTGGTATTCCATCACTCACAACCCCCCAGTACTCCTTAGATCTCAGGAGATTTTCCATAAGCAAGCTCCAGTGGTCATAGTCACCATCGAACTTAGGAAGACCAACCTGGGCAAAACTTGCATTTTCACTCATCTTTCAGCCTCACAAAACTCTCGTGTTTCCCAATACCCAGATCTGTATTCAAACAACAGATTCTGCTCACACCACTCAAGATTATACCCTCTGCACTCACAGGAAATGGTTACAGTTTGCCTTGTGCTCTGATACCAAATGTAGAAACACTTTGAATGCAATCTGACGAAGTTTATTGATGATAAACAAGGAATATAAATAAGCTGAGATGCAAGCCCAAATCACGGACTGCAATCAACAACTTTGACTCAACTAAACCTGATTTTCAGCTAACTACTTGAGCTACAAATGCTCAACGGCTACTGACAACTACCTAGGACATAATTTGAACTATAACCAAACAGAAAGGACCAACTTAGATATACTGCAAACGGTGCAGTATTAGTTTATTACACAGACATACTAAAACGACACAGCTCCAGCAACACCCTTTGAACTCGAGACTTTGGCGCCAATCTTCAATCCTGATGCCAGAAGGATTTCTTCTTCTAACAAGATTGTCTATAATGAACATTGTACATGGAACCACATTATTATCGTCACAACATCACTAGGTGAACTTATTATGGTAGTATTTAACTATGTTTCCCTTTTCAATTCCAATCAAAACTTTTCCTCTCAAACATGGTCGCTAAGTTGCTCGACTCTACCTTTCCATTCAACCGACTTTCATCGGCTATCCATGAGCACTAGAGAGTCTTTACCGTATCCTACCATGGATTGAAATGATTAACAAAATTATGTAGCACTAATTGATTGGATATATTGACAATAAGGTCTTTGATAGTTTAGATGAAGAATATATAATTACAAGTTTAATTAGAGTAGAAAAATGTTGCGAGTCATTGCAAAAATTAATAGTTCTCATATTAAATATATTTACTTAAAAAATTGGCGCCCCCTTATAAAAAATCCTGGCTACGTCACTAATTGCACATCCCTAGTAGTGATGGCAATGGGACGAGGCAAGGCGAGTACCTCAATGCCCATACACGTCCCCACTAAGACCGGGTCAGGTTTGATAATATCAGTGCGGGTACGGGGCGAGTCAACTCATTCTTATATGTTATATATTTGGAAAAAAGACCGCCAATATTTAACTCTTTTACGAGAACACATAAAGAAAATACTTCATAAATGAATGATAAATATAATATAAGGAATACTTGAGTCTAACTAATTGAAAGATAGAGTATCAATCCCTCGGGACCAACACAGAGTAGTACAAGTATATTCACCTGTTGTCCATCGACTACGCCCAAAAATTTTAGGATAAAAATATGATTTTAGAAAGGTCAAAAGAGGATAAATACATGTAGATATTGATATAAATCATACTAAAACAATCGAGAACGGAGTGGGACAGAATGAAAGCAATACCCATACGGCCCCGTCCCATGTTACTACGATTTGGATAATACCCACCCAAACAAATCGAGGCATATCGGGTCGCACAGTTCTAAGTAAAGTAAGAAATTGTCTGGGATATGGTGACAACCCATTTTAGGGTTGTTATTTTCACAACCCATTTTATCCACCATTATATTCATTCTCTTTCCTGCTTTATTAAATTGATGGATGAGATTGGTAGAAGGATATTTTTGGACGAAAAAATATGACCACATGGGATTACAATCCATATTAAATTCAATATTTTTCTCTCTCTAAAAACCCTAATTAAGATTTTCATATCATTCTCCCTCTCTTTGCGGCTGCTACCAACACATGTTCTTCCTTCTTCTTCCTCCCATCTCGTCAACTCCTCCCAACGTCGTCGCCTTTCTCCCGCCGCCGCCTTCCTCCTACTGCCCTCCTCCCACCGACACCTATTCCCGTCGTCGCATCCACAGCAGTCCCGCAGCACCTCCGCCCCTGTCGGCTGCCCCCTGGCTCTTCACACCGTTGCCTCCGCCCTTGCCGCTGCCGTCTCGCGGCGCTCTCTGCCCCTGCCGCAAGTCACCCCCCTCTGCCCATGCCACGAGGTCTCTAGCGCGAGGTCATCGATTCCCCGTGCCACTAGCCTCCTCCTCTTCCGGTGTGAGTCCCTCTGCCTCTTTGTGCCTCCTCTCCTCTCCTCCTCTTCGTTTTTCAGATCTGTGATTTTTGGATTTTCAGATTTGATTTTTTTCTAGTGGTACTAATTTTTTAGTGGTACTATATGGAGTGGTAGCTGGTAGTGGTACGCTATCACCATCATTTGGTACCAATACCATCTGGTTTTTTACCAGGTACCAGATGGTATTGGTACCAAATGATAGTGGTACGCTACCACTACCAAGTATCAGAAGGCAATGGTACACTACCACTACCCGGTACCAGATGGTAGTGGTAAGTACCACTAACGTACTGACAGAGTTTAATTTTTTACAGGTGGCGGGAGCGAGTCGCATTCAAGGATCTTGCCGGAGAAAGTCTGCTGGTCGGAGTGGAGTTGCTGCTTGAAAAGGAAGAGAGAGATAGGAATAGAGAGTTGTATTTATTGTAGGATTCAAAATTTATAAAAACATGTATTTAATGAGTTTTTAATTCCCAATCTGTAGTTAATAAAAAAATTAATTAATAAATTCATTTTTTTGTCATACCCAAAATACCCTTGGTTGTCAATCTCACAACCCCTTAGGGGTTGTTACCGTATCCCATCTAGGAATGGCAATGAGGCAGGTCCGAGGCGGGTTTCTTGGTACCCAGACCCGCCCCGTGGCAGGTCGGGTAATTGATCTTGGGTCGCGGGTCGGGGCAGGTCAACCCAATGGGTATGCAATTTATATTAAAAACATTAGCAATATTCGTTATTTTTATTATAAGACTAAGAAAACAAACAATATTATGAAAATTGTAGTTAAATTATTGGAGAAATTGAGATTTTCACTAATTTACAACTTTCTTATAGCTAAAAATATGATGCTATAAAAGGAAAATCCTAAGTAATTCGACTAAGATTACATGTAATTTAGACAAAAACGGGTCGAGAATGGGGCGGGTCAGGACAGGTCGGGTCGATGAGACTACCCATGCCCGCCCCGCCTATGAGGCGGGTCGGACCCGTCCCAAAACAGGTCAAACAGGTCGGATAAAACGGGTCAGGTCGAAATTGTCATCCCTAATTCCCATCTCCTCACCAAACCTAGTATTAGGAACATAGACTAATCCACGAAAATAGGGTGCTTTTTGGTAAGAAATCCGAAATTAAGGGAGGGTTTCCAAATTCCAACTCACGCCAGATCAAAGCATCTTTCTTGACCTTCAACAGCAAATATGGCTCCACGGCGATGAAACAGCCGCAGTAACCTGCCCACGCTGACCCGCGCCGTCAATCGACTCTCTCTTTCTTCTCTTCTCTCCCTTCCCACTCCAATCCCAGGTCTGTGCCTCGTCGTCGCCGCTCACAAGTTTTCACCATTTGGTTCTTGATTTGCCTAGCTCTGACGTTTTTTCCTTTTGGTTGTACAGTTCATGACCGACTAATTTCAGTTCCCTGTGGCGTCAAGCTACTGAAGGTTGCTGTTTTTATCATCATGATGCGCACAAGTTCTGCTCTTTTTCTTCGATCATTCAGGTTCCCCTTCTCCCTATCTGGTTCAGAGTTCAAATGACTACGATCAAAATAAATTGGCGGTCGTTTCTTAGTTTTTCTGAAGGTTTTGGGAGTCCAAGTTTTACTCAGAGAGCTTAGGTTGAGCTGAATCACATTTTGGGTTTACTGTAGGCCTACTGTTCTCTCGCGTTTCTGGATAATTAGCAGTATCTTGTCTTTGCTTTTACATTCTTGTGAACGCCGGAAAATCTCACAGATAGGGCACTTGGAAATTTCCAACTGCTGTTCTATCTAAAAGTTGAACGCTTTGGTATTTGTTTTGAATGCAATACATTGGTTTTGGCAGCTGATCGATGGAAGTTCTATTGGTCATCAGGAGTTGATCTATTGTTATCGAGGATGGCACAACCTTCTGTGATACTTGCGACTGGTAGCTATGATCACACAATCAGGTTCTGGGAGGCAAAGAGCGGTCGATGTTACCGTACAATTCAGGCCCAAGAATCGGTTAGTCTCTAGTGTAAGACTGGAATTGTTGGTGTGATGATTTTTGCTTCTGCAAGCCCTTGGATGATCGCTAAGTTTCAAACTTCCCTTAATCCATAGGTCTCAAAAGCAGTAGATAACTGCTGAAGCGTGGCATGTACTTTGCTTGCATTTTCTTCTGGTTAAGTAGGCATACATTTCAAAGTGCACTGTTTGTTCCTGTGCATAAGCGAAGAGTAGTATTACAAGTGTTTTTCACATTCTATGTTTTTTACAACCCTCAACTGATAGTGCGGCTGGAAGTTTTCTCTGCTGGAGCCTTTCGCTGGACTTTCTTTCTTCTTTATGCGTCCACTGTTTTCTGGTTAAATTATTACACTTCCTTCCAGGGCTTCTTTCAATAATTTTTTTTTTTCTTCTTCTTCTTCTGATCCTTTTTCTTTCTCCATTTCTCCTACCTCCCGCACTTGATGTCGTCTGTGCATTTTGACTTTAATCCTTCTTTCCTCCCTGATTCTTGCTTCACTTTCTTCTGTGATGTAACTTGTTTCCCCTCTTTCTTTCTTTCTTTCTTTCTTATGTTTTCTTTAGGCTGCCACTTCCACTTTCATTTACTCTCATTACAGCCTCATATTATAGGTGACATGAACATATTTTGTCTCCGAATCTTAAAGAATAGGATTTGAAGTATGGAAATGGAACGGAATCTGTTGATGTGAAGTGTAGCTGCTGCAGCTACCACCTGATGCTGAAATATTAATAGCATATATGTTATTGTAAAAATGTGCCATTTGGTTTGTGTTGTGTTAAGCCCCACTCCAGTTCACTGGGTCACACTTCTGATACCTATTGCTTGCTACACAACTTGAGTTATAGCTGTCATTGTTTACCAGTACGGTGTGGGTTAGTTTTTGACCATTGATTTGTCTATTTTCCAGCAAGTTAATAGACTTGAGATAACCCCAGATAAGCGCTATCTAGCTGCAGCTGGGAATCCTCAGATTCGGCTATATGATGTCAATTCTAACAACCCTCAACCGGTACCTATCCCTCTGACATGTTGCGAAAATTCTCATACAAAATTAAGTTCATTTTCTCAGATGGATGTCTGGTATCTTGGCTTCGTATGCTGCAGGTGATGAGTTATGATTCGCATACAAATAATGTTATGGCATTGGGGTTTCAGTGTGATGGAAACTGGATGTATTCAGGATCAGAGGATGGCACAGTAAAGATATGGGACTTGAGGTAAAGTATGGTTTATGTATGTATATTATGATTTACAATTGAAATTTATCTATTGGGCTGTAATTTGTGGTTATATATGTTCTGAAGGGCTCCAGGTTGTCAGAGGGAATATGAGAGTCGTGCAGCTGTGAACACGGTTGTGTTACATCCGAATCAGGTATCGTGCTGTATTTCTTTTCTCTTATGGTATGACAGCAGTGTTTTCTCAATAAACGCTTTTTTATCAGTTTTCTGCATGTCCGTTTTGAATCCTTTTGTGCTGTGGTGTTACTCCCTGCAAAGTGTGCTTGTACTTTGAAAGGTTTCATGGGATGCCAAGTTTGATGCACTGGGTAGGATCTCCGTGCTATTCAGCGTAAGTGGATTCTTTTAGGCCTGAAGTGTGTAATTTTTCTATTTACAGACGGAACTGATATCCGGGGACCAAAATGGGAACATACGTGTTTGGGATCTGACAGCTAACTCATGCAGTTGCGAATTGGTATGTTGCCTTGTAGGATTACAGCACTCTTTTCTTTCTGGTAGTATAATCATTAAAAGTAGTAAAATGTTGCTAATACTAAGGATTAACACAAAAGACTGAACAAAATTTTTATGGCAATGCATGGACCGATCAGTTAATTTGTTTATCCTAAGCTATGGATTATTTTTCTAGGTTCCAGAGGTGGATACAGCTGTAAGGTCACTAACAGTTATGTGGGATGGAAGCTTGGTAGTTGCTGCAAACAATCATGGAACCTGTTATGTTTGGCGATTGTTGCGAGGAACCCAAGTAAGTTAGTGAATTCCTTAAAAAAAAAACTTACTGCATGGTTCAGTACATTATGTGTGACCCAAATTACCATATGTTTGACAGACAATGACCAATTTCGAACCACTCCATAAGCTGCAAGCACATAATGGATACATCCTCAAATGTCTCTTGTCACCCGAATTCTGTGAACCTCACCGGTCTCTCTACCAAATTAACTTTCTTTTTTCGTTCCCTATCCTACTTCCTTCACAACCCAGTTTAGAAATGACGATTGGTGGTTTGTTGAATTGTTTATTTGTCAGGTATCTGGCCACTGCGTCATCAGATCATACTGTCAAGATATGGAATGTCGATGGTTTCACCCTAGAAAAGACTTTAACAGGTATCGTATTTGTACACAGGTTTCCAACTGAAATCCTTCTGTTGTTGATCAGCTTCATATTGTCTTACATCCTTCTGTTTGTGCATTTGCCAGGTCATCAACGCTGGGTATGGGACTGTGTTTTCTCTGTGGATGGTGCTTACCTCATAACAGGTACCTAATACTGAATGAAGTCAGAGGCTGGATTTGTGGCTTGCATATGGTTAAATTGACGCATTATTTTAGTTTCTTGGGTACGAAATTGACTTGTTATTGACGTAATGCAGCATCTTCTGATTCAACGGCGAGACTGTGGTCAATGTCAACTGGCGAAGACATCAGAGTGTATCAAGGCCATCACAAAGCAACTGTCTGCTGTGCCCTTCATGATGGTGCAGAGCCATCTGCAGCCTGAATAATCCATATCCTACGTCGTGTGGCCCTGCCTGAATCCTTGCAGCTTGCTTCTGTTCCATATTGTGACCAACATGTTCATCTATTACTACACTACATGTTCATCTATTACTACACTGATCAGGTTTTATGATGTGTACATAGCTTTCTGTTCATGAAACATCCTTGTGTAGAAACAAACAATCGCAGAGAAGCTTGCCTAACCAATAAAACAGTAAACTTGAAACCCAGAAAGTCAAGAGTTTGGCAATGGTTGGACTAGCGATGCTGCAGACCCACATGCTCATTGCATTTTAAAGTAATTTCAAGTGCGTTACATCTAATGAGAAGACATATCAAACCTTTTATAGGTTGGACATAATAACCTAGACAGATTTGCTTGGAAAACAACAAATTCAAACAAGAAAAATGTTGTCAAAGAAGTACAAGAGTCGCTTTCCTTGCCTCCTATCAAACTTCAACCGTGACATTGACACAAATCCTCTCACCTATGATCCCAAAATGATACATTGGACTCAATCCAGCTTCAAATCACAAAGTCTTCACTTTATTCTTCAAATGTCATCACTTCCAAAATTTATTTCCTTTTGTTCTCCTGCATTCTACATTTCTTAGATTGTAGGTTTTGTTTCTTGTGCTGCTAGGCATAGTAAATTCAAAGTGACTCCATCTGAGCTCATATTGCAACAATCTTCCTTGTCAATGCCACTGAGCATTCTAATCATCCTCTTCCGTTCATCAAATATGGACTTAGACAGTGACTTAATAAAAATGTCAACACGCTAAATTTGAGTCGAACGTTGAGCGAATGATCAATCATTCATCTTTAGCTTCAACTTCAATCATAGCATGATATTTGATCTTGATGTGCTTAGTTCTGCCATAGAGCATAAAGTTATTAGCCATTGAAACTGTAGTTTGATCGTCACTTTTGATGATAATAGGCAAAAAAAATCTCTATTGAGTTAACTTAGCCAAAACTGCATGATTCACTACTTCATACCCAATAATATACGTACCTTTAGCAGCTGACTAAGCTACAGTGGTTAGCTTCTTTGAACTCCAACAAACGTCTTTTGATTTAGCAAAAGTAAATATAGATGTTTTTTCATTCATGTCCTTTGAATATCCAACACTGTGACTGTCACTTCCTTTCCTCCTTTGAACATCAGACCATGATCAATGAGATCCTTAATGTACCTTAATAGTATTCGAGTTGTCTTATAGTGAATCTTTGTTTGAGCTAGCAAGCACGTAGATACAACAAGCGTCTTATTAGGCTTCTAGAAATTTTAACTTCAAACTGTCTAGAGCCATCTTCCTTTGTAAGCTGACTTCTCACATATCGTGATGTTAAAGAAGACTTGCATATTAGTAGTGCACGCTATAATCCATGCTATATTTGCCACTCACAATTAGAAAGTTACCGAGTAAGATATGCTCATATAACACAAATTACAAACTCATGAAATCAACTAATGATAATAATATGAGAGATTTCAAGATGTTGGTACAGAAGATAGTAGTCATTTACATGGAAGGGTCATTTGTTTAACCTAATCCTTACTAATTTTCTCTTAAATTTGCAACGGATCATATCTCTTTTATTTTAATTTGAATTTATATGGCGTTAAAATGAAGAAAATATAAGTAGAAATAAACAAATTAAGAAGAGCAATTTGCACAAATCTGCAATCCCTGTACAACAAGACTTAGTTTTCTGTTCACGCAGACCCATATTTACTACTAGTTTTTTACCCGCCCGTTGAGGGATGCATTATGTTTGGTTATTTTATAATTCGTTATAGTATTCTAATTATTATCTATTTTTGTTGAGCTAATATACATGTAATTGTAAATCTCACTTACCTTATTTTAGATAATATTTTATACTTTTATACCTTTTTATTTCTGAAAAATTTAATTGTATTAACTGAGCTCTCTGTATATCGTTCTTTATCGATTTAGAATTTTGTATCAAACTAAAAAAAGTGACAAAAATTTAAGGCCACAAACGAAGAAGTTAGAATAAGAAAATATGTTTCAATTAATAAAAAAAAAAGCGAAGAGTTTTTCATTTTCTTTCTCTTCTCATATGTCGGTATAAGATAATAGAGAATATTCCGATCTAGAACCCCACGAATATCATGCATACTTTCTTTTGTGACAAATGAATCCCTGATGTGCTGCGAGCCACTTCAATTCCCAAAAAATACCTCAGATTGCCAAGGTCCTTAATACTGAACTCATTGTGAAGAATCTTTTTCAGTTCTTCGATTTCTGTAATATCATTGCCCCCAAAAACCAAATCATCCACATAAATGAGAATGCATGTGTAGCTTGTTTCAGTGACCTTGAAGAAGAGAGAATGGTCTGCTTGACTTTGAATGTATCCAACCTTTTGTAATTTGTCAGTAAGCTTGGAGAACCACTAACGTGATGCTTGTTTTAAACCATAAATAGACTTTCTTAACCTGCAAACTAGATTTGGCACATCAGAAGGAGGCGCATAGCCTTTTGGCAGTGTCATGTACACTTCTTCTTCAAGGTCACCATGAAGGAAGGCATTGTTTACATCTAACTGATGTATGTGCCAGTTCCTCATGGCTGCAATGGCTAGAAAGGTCCTGCCTGTTGTCATTTTTATGACAGGAGCAAATGTATCTTTGTAGTCTACACCTTCATGTTGAGTATTTCCTTTTGCCACTAATCTGGCTTTATGTCTCTCAAGTGAACCATCAGAAAGAAACTTATCCTTGTAGATCCATTTGTTGCCTATTGGTTTCTTACCCTTAGGCAAACTGACAACATCCTATGTATGGTTTCTGAGTAATGCTTTGATCTCTAACTGCATTGCATCATTCCAAATGTCATGTTGAGAAGCCTCATTGTATGTTTGAGGTTCTCTGTGACTTGAAATGTTTAGAAGAAAACGTTTGTGATGGGAGGAAAGCTTGTCATAAGAGATCATGTTGGAGAAGGAAATGAAGAAAATGAAGAAAATGTAAGTAGAAATTTTCTCTCTTAAATTTTCAACGGATCATATCTTTTTTATTTTAATTTGAATTTATATGGCGTTAAAATGAAGAAAATGTAAGTAGAAATAAACAAATATGAATTAATATACACGAATTAATCTACACGATTAAGAAAATGAAATTCGATTGGAAAGCAGTGCACTATCCCAACTTCGGGTACACAACTTTTCCCGCCAACGGAACAAGATATCCAAGTCGGACTTTCAGAAGGCTAAAGGGACGCTGAAACTCCACACTTCAGTTTCCCATAATTCTTACTTACTGCTCTTCTTCCCTCTCGGAACTCGATTCGCGTCTCATCGGATTTGCTCCACTGACCGGCTCCTCCAAATTGACCTCCTCCTCCTTCACCTCCGCAGCAGTTTTCAATCAATCCCACCAATAAGATTAATCAAGAAAGAAATGGCGCTAGGGTTTCGCTGAAGATCGGCGAGGGAAAAAAAGGCGCTTGGAGAGGAGATCAAGGGCAAACTCCAAAGTCATCTCGATCCGCCAGTTGCATCTTACAGGTCAGTCCAGCTTCATTATGGTTTGCCTCCATCTCCCTGTTTTTTTTTTAATCGACTTCTGTGCGTTTGAGTTAGGGTTGCGATCAGCTTTGGTTCAGAACTAGATTGAGAGCATATGTGAATGATTTGATATGTACAGTCTATACTCGTTGTAAGTCGACCGAGTTACGATTAGTAGTTTCGTTTCTAGTCATTTTCATGGCGGCTATAGTGGCTAGCGGTGGCTGAAAGTTTCAGCGAAAGCAGCAACTGCAGGCCCCCGATAGCATCCTCCAATGCCAGCTCTTCCTCTTTCAAGGCTATTGCTCTCTTCTGAAGGATTGATAGGCTCTTAACTCGCTAGTTATGTTCCTTTTGCAGGAACAACATTCTTTCCCCTGGTGCTCTAGCTCTGGATTGTTGCTGAAACTGTAGCAACTTGACCAACTCTCAGCTAAGCTTTCTTTGCTAGGTAGAAGTCTGCCTGTTCCAAAATTCGCTTGACGGTCGACGACTTAGGAACTTTTGGTTGATAACTGTAAGTGATGGATTCCTCAGGAAAGTAATCTAACACTACTAGGCTGGGGGAGTCACTATTGCACTACCTTGATATTTTCCGTATCACTTTCCAATTGTTTTCTTGTGGGGGTTCTTGTACTACGATGGTGAAGCCGATGAGACGTTGCAATAGTGATGCTGGAAGCCCTGAACCCGAGAACTTGACTGGAAAAGGTAAAAATAGCCGCATCTGTTAGAACTGCAAATGGCTGACTCATACTGATTCTTAATCAAAGTTCTTTTGGTCTAAATAGCAAAGAAGGCTAGTGCCAAAAAACGTTATGTTCCCCAAAAGAATTCCGTAGCATATGCATTACTGATCACACTTTACAGGTAATTGAATGTTTTGCTTTCTCAAAAGTTCTTGTACATCTCGTCCTGTGTTCCTGTTTGCCCTGTCCAACTCATTTGGATTCTTTGATTTTGCAATTAGGGGGACTACAAATGGCGAGGAGTTTATGCGTAAGCAGGAGCTGATCGATGCAGCTGAAGCAAGTGGACTTTCTCGGGTGCCAATAGCGTAAGTAGTTATAGTATATTAATGGCATGTTCTATAATTTCCTTCCTCGAACTTTTAGGAAGAAAATTGATGGGTTTGAATGGTGTTTCTTTACCAGGCCAGAAAAGGGAAAAGGGAAGCCAACACGATTTGGAAGTTCCCCAAGGGACTTGTACTCCGGATGGAGCTGCATGAAGACATTGATAACCAAAGAATTAGTTGTCAAATCGAGTTGCCCTGCAAAGTATGGCAGTAGTGAATTTTTCTACTTGCATCAATAGCATGTGGTTTTCCTAATATGTCCATAGGCACGCCTCCATTTGAAGTTCATGTTTATGGCACAACATAATTAATTGAAAATCAGAGGATTGTTGTCCTAACGGAAATTTGTGAAACTATATCATCTAGAAGCTTCAAATTTCAGGAAATGTCAGAAGGGTATGGCCTCCTGGTGCACTACTTTCTCTTAAAGCAGTTTGTGCCCTTATTGCAGCTCTTATGACCCCAGTTGAGGCTGAACTGCTTCCATTAGTGGCTAGTTGTCCTGGTAAAAGGTGCCAGAACTGGTCTACCATATTCGGACAGCTTGTTGGGGCAATCTGGTAGTTATTTGCTTGCAAATTTAGTACTAACCACCAAGGTAGCGCTGTTTCTGCCATTGGCCTCCCAGTCAAACTTAAAAGAACGATCCTTGTATCCCTTGGATGGTGTGCCGACTAGAACAAAAACTTAACCCTCCGGTTTGCTATCAGTTCTGATTCATGTGTAATTCCTTATATTTAAGGGACTACAAGCTCAGCAAGAAAATCACCTTAGATCTCTGATATTCTACAGTCATCTAGTAATTCACTTGCTTGCTTCTTCTTTTTTACACTCCCTTGTTAGAAACGCACTTCATCCATTTGTAGGTACACGATAACACAGGAAGGACAAGACGTAGCGAGGGAATGTCTGGTGAGATCTCGCCTGCTGGACCCTATGGAGACTTCAGCTCATGCAAAGGATTCTTCAAATTTGGACATTCGCAATACAGCAGATAAGGAATCAACTCAGTCTACTTCATCTCCTGAAGTTACTATTCTATCGGTGGACTTGACTCAACAGGAGAGATCTTTTGATCTTCCTCCTCAATCCTTTGAAAAGGTAAAATTTCTAGCAGCTCATAACTTCTTTTCTTTTTCTCTAAAGGATTGCAAGCAATGCAGTCAAAATCGCGTTTTAAAACTTAAAAACTTACGATTTTACGCTTTTAGGTCACCAAAACGCTTTCGTTTCCATATAAAAACTTAAGTGTATAAAATCGGACTAAATTGCGCTTTAAAGCTTAAAAGCTTACGCTTTTACGCTTCTATTTCACCAAAACGCTTTACGTTTTTACGCTTCTATTTCACTAAAACGCTTTACGTTTTTACGCTTTTAGTTCACTAAATGAGTATTCTTTTCATGGAATTAATTATAAAAAGTATATTTTAAAAGTGAATCACCAACAATATGATACATTTGAGATTAAAAGATACATATAATGTACTTGGATGCATTCTCAACTTTAATAGAGTAATCTAATTCACCAGCTAAGCTCTTCCCGAATGCATTAGCATAGAGGAAGAAGTGGCTTATTGTTAAAATTTATGTTTACAAACTTATTATTAAGATGCTACAAGTTGCTCTACTTGAGGCATGAATTGCATGTATTTATTAACTTATCTAAATTCCGTGCATTCATATTTTACATAGTATATGTCCTAGTTTTTTAGTTATTTTTCAGTATGCTTCAAAAACTTACGTTTTTACGCTTTGATTCTACGCTTTATGATTTTACCCCTTTTCTGCTTCTAGATAGAATCGCGCTTTTGACTGCATTGATTGCAAGTACCAAATTCTTTCATGTTTGTATTGTTCTTTACACCGGCTTTGCAATTTGTTGTTGTTGTTGTTGTTGTTATTATTATTATTATTTTTTTTTATAATGGCGAAATAATAATAATAATAATATTATTATTATTATTATTATTATTATCATTATTATTTTACTGGTATAGGTTCTTGATGGTTACCAGAATCACTTTTTTCAATTGTAAATCTCCTTGACCTATGCTACATCTGTGTTGCAGTTTCTGCATATGGGTTATTCCAAGGAACAAGTTTTTGATGCCTTCATTGAAGTGTCGAGAACTTCTGGTCAGAAGGATATCTCATCACTCTGGCCAGCGGTCCTGTGTTGTCTTCGAGAAGAACAAATTTATGGCCTGAACTCAGAATCTCAAACCCTGGGAAATTATTGCCAAGCAGAATCAACTACTCCAACTTATTCCCACGGTAATAAGGTCCCTTTTATCTCCTTTAGCAATCACATTTGAGATAGGAACTGGCTTTCCTCAAGTGATGGGCCTTTTTACAAATGTCCAGGTCAGGTTGGTACTTGTGGCAGTCGAAGTAGTCAAATGGATTGGGATTGCAGTAATAATGTCAATGCTTGTTCTACAACTGCCTCATTAAATCTGCAAGCTTGCTCATCAAATGTTTGTGCACCTTTATATTTGACATTTTCTATTAGCTACCTGACCTTTCGGATTCCAATCCCATCCACAAAAGCAGGTAGGCACCTCAATTAACAGTTACTGAATGCTAATGGCATCCTCTTGTAGGACTGTACAATGAAGTTGTCAAGTTCTGAGGTCGCTCAACCAAACATGAGTGTGTTGAGCATGCCTCCTCTTGGCGTTGGGGAGAGGTTTGAGGATGTGTATGAAGTCCTCCTTGTATTAGATGACCGTGAGCAGTTTGCAACTCATGGGTGAGTAACTTGAAGGCAAAGCACCCTTGCCCTGCCTCTTCTTCATTTGGTAGTTTTGTCGGTTCTGTCAACCTTGCTGCTAATATGAAAACATGTTCATTACTCATAATCGGGGAAAGAAGATTTTTTGTATGCTTGTGCTATAGAAATAGTTAATTTTGTTGATCGCATGAGAATCTACTGTTGATTTGATTGGTCATACTAACATAATCTGTAGTTTACAGGTCAAGAGGCAGGAAACTTATTGATGGGATGTGCAAGGAGCACAGAATAAAAGTAGAGGTAGGAGAGTTTGATCTTTAAACCTTCTCTTTTCCTTCCAAAGATTTCTCAAATTATGTTGGAGTTCAGTCAAATAGACTGTTGTTGTCGTCCTATGCCAGAAACTTTCTTGTAGATTTTTACTTGTTCTTGGAATCATTGAAATCCTATATGCTAGAGAGGGTTAAATCTGAATTCTGACGCTTTATTCCACAAGAGCTGCCTGCTGGGTTAGCCTCCTCTCTATCAAAGATGTGAAAGCTTCAGTTACTTGTCCCTTGACCAAATTTCTTTTTCTAAAATATTTCCTTGGAGCAGCACTGCAGTTTGTGTTCATGGTCATCTTGGAAAGATTTTTGTTTCTAGTTCATGGCTCTGATGTTAGATTGCATTTTAAGATGTACATCAGGATTTCCTTTTCATTTGTGATCACTTGTGCCTGGAGGATATATTTACATATGTATAGTAAAGTTTGGTGTTCCCTTCAGTAGTGTTTACACAAATGGGCTATTTCTCAGGTCAGGCGGTTACCAGTTGGGGATGCAATCTGGCTAGCTCGCCACAAGTATCATTTTGATGAATACGTTCTTGATTTCGTTGTCGAGCGGAAAAATGTTGATGATTTGCGGTCATCGATTAGGGAACATCGCTATAGAGACCAGAAGTTGAGGCTTCAGGTACACATTTTTCTTTTCCTCTGGTATAGTTAGTGTACTCTGGTCGAGCTGCGTACTAATCCCAATCTGTTCAGTTAAATTTGGTTTAACTACTGTGGTCGCACCAATTTATTGATTTCTCTGGCTCTCTTATTTTGACAACAACATAACAACTAAAAAACACACTGTTATTTGCAGAGATGTGGGCTTAAGAAGCTGATGTATCTGGTTGAAGGCGATCCCACCTCTTGTGAGGGAGCTGATAGCATAAAAACAGCGTAAGCGACTATTGTTTTCAGCTAGCACAGTTCTAAAAAAGAACCATTGAAATCCATTTGTTGCAAACTGGTTTCTTACTGTTTATAGATTAAAATGATGCTACGATGTGTTCAACTCCTTTTTTTACATTGAATTTCCTGCTACCCTACCCTTGCAGTTGTTTTACGACAGAGATTCTGGAGGGCTTTGATATCCAGAGAACTACCAGTTTACTTGATACACTGAAGAAGTACGGCTATCTCACCAAGTCCATTTCGCTATATTACCGCTTGCTGTCAACTTGTGATCGATCCCAGCAGCGTGGCACCTGCCCACTCTATCGCGATTTCGTCAAGAGGTGTGAAGAACTTGACAAGATGACCATCAGTGATGTGTTTGCTAATCAGCTGATGCAGGTACATTGATTCTCTTTCCTTTAGCCAAGCAATCCACCCCCGAATGTAATTAACAAAAGTAGTAAGAAGCACCAAGATTGGTCCTGTGCAGGTTTCGCAAGTGACGGAGGAGGCTGCCATGGCTGTTCTTGATCTGTACCCGACGCTCCTCTCTCTTGCTCGGGCCTATTCGTCTCTTGTAAGTACTCGTCTACAATTCTTGAAGGGAACCTGGAAATTGCCCTATTTTTTGAAGCTCATTGTTTGGCATTTGCTTCTTACCCAGGACGGTGACTTCCATGCGCAAGAGAACATGCTTAGGCAACAGAGCAACGACATTGTAACTCCAGCTGCTAGCAGGAACATTTTCCAGTTCGTATGGGGAGAATGAATGGTTGGCCCAAGTGTGGGAATCTCAATGGTGGTCAAGTTAAAAAATTACCATGGACTAGTTTACACCATTGAAGAGAAGTAAAGGCTCAAGTTGTAAGTACGAAAGAAAGCCTAGTCTTTATTTTGGTGGCCAGAGCAGCTCTGATTTTTAACGGAAGCCGCTTTGATAGTTTTTTTTCAAAGGATTGTAAAACAGTATCATTATATTGGAAAATCCGTAGTAAGAAAATTTATGCCGAAATTAAAGTTTAGTCATGGTTTTTAAGAGTTTCATAGAGCTAAAAATTAGAAATTGATTTATACTTTGATAGAAGGTTCTCTCAGTCGGACCACGAATACGATTTCACGTAATTTTTTTGTTTGTGTATGCATAGTACAATGCCTTGAAACCAACAAACCCTTTTCGCCAACCTCCTAGCGCCAACGTCGCCTTCTTCCGTTATCCCTACCGTTGCCTCTCTGCACGACCTTGTCATCTCTTGTTGTGTAATCTTTATATAATTTTCTTATTCAGGATATACTGTACTTTTGATTTTACTCAAGATACGATAGAAACCACTATATTCTACTTTGAGTACGAAAATTATATATAGACCTTGATTGATCGAATTCTGGAGCATGATACCATTGGCGGAGGGAGGCCCGTTGGGCCTTATCCCGGGACAGGGGTAAATTTTGGAGGAACAAAAATATGTCATATATATGTATATTGGTGATGCAAAACAACGTCTATAGGTAGTATTGGAGTATTTTTTTCACTACAACACAACTCATCACTTATTCATAAATTGACATAAAATTAATTTATTATACTATAAATGAATTCTAATTGCAATAAAGACCTAATTGGATCTCTTTTCTCCTTATGCCTATTCAATTTTTCCCAACAACCCTGAAATTGTCTAGCGACAGCGACAATTCCACTAGTTTTGATTCTACGAATTACAACTGCAAATGTAAAAAGAGCATTTTCAGCTTTGAGTTATATTAAGAACAAGTTTCCAAGTCGATTTGGCGACTAGTTTGCTAATGCTAATTTAGTGAGATACATTGAAAAAGACTTATTTAATAGTGTAGACGACGAATGTTTTTTGCGTTTCTTTCACAATATGAAATCTCGTCGTGGTTGTTAAAAGTAATGATTGTATAGTCGGTTATTTTTAATTTATAAATGAATTATGCAGATATAATTCATTTTAATTATTTTTTTATTAAATTGTTTTTAATTAAATATTTATATATTTATATTATGAAAAGAGGACAGGGGTGGTTTGAAATGCTGGCTCCGCCACTGCATGATACTATACCCTAACTCTTGTTGAGTGAACCCTAGGTATTAGTTATATAAATCATAGACCTTAAACCCCAAAATAGTGCATGTAATTTTTTGCATATATTTTGGCGACTTGTGACTGTTGATTGCTATTTCTAATTAAATTGATTTTAGCGTATGAGATTTATATAATTAAGACTCAGATATTCATCTTTAAGGATTATGGTACAATACCATATCCCAAACTCCGATCAATTTAAAGTCTAAATATAATTTTCTTACTCAAGGTATACTATACCTTTAATTTTACTTAAGTTACGATGAAAACATCTATATATATAGGAAATAACAATGTAGGTGTTTCTTTGAAACGCGAATATCCAGGCACTAGTAAGTTGAGTTTTCACTTTTATACCCAATTAATATTTGGGTAATGAGTATTTATTAGCCAAACTTTTTATTTTTATTTTTTTTATTAGCCAAACCTGTCGAAATACTAAGAATTATCCAAATATTAACTTTCAGTTAGTAATTTTGTTAGTAATATCGATTTGGAAACATGATACTGCCTTGGAAAAACAAATGAAGGTCAACATTTCAAAAATTTAGTATTTTAACTAAGAAATGAGTTCCAAGATTATGAACGATAATGTAAAAATAACTAATATTTTGATGCATTATGAAATATGTAACTAATTAATAACATTTTAATGATTTTGAATAATATAAAATAATCTGAAAATAATTTGAATAAAAAATAAAAATTAGGGTGTGCCTACGGTGACATGCATGTCACGGTGACTTGCACTTTCCGGTCGACCTCAGTTAGGATTAGGTCGACCTCATATAGAATTCGGTCGACCTCATATAGGATCCGGTCGACCTCATTTAGGATTCGGTCGACCTCATATAGGATCCGGTCGACCTAATATGTTGTTTCAGTGTAAAAACAGTTCATGGTGCCTACTTTGGATATTCATATCATACAATTGGCTAGATGGAAATTGAAGACTAATGACTTGTTTTGAAGCTGGAGTGTCCCTCTACATATTGAAGTGATTGAGAGCTCGATAGGAAGTTCAGAAGACCATTTTTGAACCTCATCAAAAGGCTATGCCAAAACTGGGAAACTGCCTAGAAATGGCTAAGTCTGGAAACGTGTTTGTGAAGCCTATTTTTGAGCTCAATTCGAGAAGCATGAATGCGAGTCGAGTCCAGGAGCCTCTACCACGTTAAATTAGGTATTTTTTTTATACAAATTCAAGGAATTGGATGAAAGATTGGATATCTTTAAGGCTTCAAACAAAAGGGTCGAAGTTGCTACGAAGGCTGTTTTTCTGGCAGACTTCGAGCACAAGCAAGCTGCCAGAAAAACAGCCTTCGTAGCAACTTCGAGCCTTTTGTTTGAAGCCTTAAAGATTTCAATCTTTCATTCAATGCCTTGCCTTTGTATAAAAAAATACTTAATTTAACGTGGTAAAGGCCCCTGGACTTGACTCGCATCCATGCTTGTCAAATTGAGCTCCAAAGTAGGCTTGACAAACACGTTGCCAGACTTAGCCATTTTCAGGCAGTTTCCCAGTTTTGGCATAGCCTTTTGGTCAGGTTCAAAAATGGTCTTCTGGACTTTCTATTGAGCTCCCAAGTACTTTAATGTGTAGAGGGACACTTCAGCTTCAAAACAAGCCTTTAATCTCCAATTTCCATCTAGCCAATTGTAAGATATGAATCTCCAAAGTAGACACCATGAAACTGTTTGTACACTGAAACAACTGATTAGGTCGACCTGATCCTATATGAGGTCGACCGAAAAGTGCATGTCACCGTAGCAAAGTCCAAAAAGGTTTCTCAAAGAGAATCAACACAACAGATAATTTATTAATTTATTTTTAATCTATAAGTGATCCAGTTTTGTGTTAGCCGCTCAGATAGTATTAAACTATTACTTTAGTTAGGCAAGATAATATTTTTATATTTTAGCCAAGAGTTGTGCGTGTGTATATATGTTCAATTTTTCAATTTTATTTTATTAGAAGATTAAGAGTTTGAGACAAAGTCTTATACGTGAGACTTTTCTAATTAACTAATTATAATAACTTAACTAAACACACCAAATATAACTTTTTTTTGTGAGAACAAGGCGCTAAAGGCGCCCTAATCTTTATTCCGTACGAATCAAACGAGGAGTTTGTATCCACAAAGTGTCATAGTACAACCAGTAAGCCAGATTACTACTCGGGCTGTTAACAATATGGTACCCAATCGGGGCCGAATGGCTCACAGAAGCTAAATGATCCGCGACATAGTTGGCTTCGCGGTAGACGTGGTCGATCCTAACAGTCCATGGCCGGTCAAGCCATCTTCGAATTTCAGCCACCCTCGTATAATGTGGGTGGTTCGGTAATGCCGTCTCTATCAGGGACTTGGTTGTCGCTGAGTCAGTCTGCAGAACAACCTTCCTGGCCCCTTCCTCCCAAGCAAGCTTCAACCCATACACAATTCCAGTCAGCTCCGCACGGGTTATGGAACCCCCTCCAAGGTTCGCAGTGAATGCTTTGATGAAACGACCATCGTCTCCCCGAACGATACCGCCACAGGCTGTGCTTTCTAGAAAGGAATTAACTGAGCCATCTGTATTGACACAGACCCAGCCAGGCGCCGGTGGTTGCCAACCAATCTCACGCCTTACTCGGAGTCCCCCATCTTCGAAAATGTTCCTCTCCTTCTCGAATGCTTTAAGAAGCTGATCTCTGAGCTGTTTTGCTTGGAACTGGATCTGTGTATGAGTTTTCAGCTCGCTCCCGAAGACAAGGCCATCCCGATTCTTCCACAGTAACCAGCAGACACCTGCAAAGAGAGTACTATCAATAATTTGACTCTTCCCTGAAAGATAGTAGTGCGACCAGCGCTTAACATCGGGTTCGAAGAAGAGGCTGTCCGGTTCGTCTCCAAGCATTTCCGCCCAGGTAGCTCGTGCGAAGGGCAGTCACGAACAACGTGGATTGTTATCTCCAGGTCAGCTCCACAAATTTTGCATCCTTTTTCCGTCGTCAGGTGGCGGCGCCCTTGCTCCGCGTTGGTGAAGAGGCGGTCGTGGTTCATCAGCCAAAGAAAGGAACACACCCTCTGCATGGTTGGTGCCTTCTAGATGGTTCGCCACACCGGCCGGACATGGGTCGTGCTCGCCGCCGGGTCAGTCAGCTCGTACGCCGTTCGGAGGGTGAACTCCCCCCATTATGAGAATCTCCAAACTCGAACGTCATCGGCTTCCTCCGTCAGGACAGGATGCGATCCAACCTGCAAAACAAGAGCTGGGGGTAAGTACTGCCTCAAATATTCCAGGTTCCACTCACCGTTGAGTACGAAGTCAATCACTGGCATGTTGCACATTTCTGGCACTAGGCCTGACGCATGTTCACGGAGGATGATTTCATCATCCAGCCATCTATCACTCCAAAACCGTGCCACTTTGCCATTTCAAACGTTCCATGCCGTTGCTCCCTCGATCAAGTGTGCGACGCGCATCACTCCTCGCCAGAGATTAGACAGCCTTCCCGTACTGCGAAAGATCCATCCCTCTTCCATCTGTTTCCCGTATTTCCCTAGAAGAACCCTTGCCCAGAGGTTGTCTGCATTGTGTAAGCCGGTAGCGATGAGATCGCGGATTGCGCTAGCGTGATTTGCCCGGCTAACGAGAGAGACGCAGCCTTCCACCCCGCTAAACGTCTATCAATCCTGTCAATCAGATCCGTAAAGGTAGCTTTCGACACTCTATCATGAATCACGGGAACCCCCAAGTAGCGCCCCAGGTTAGTCGTTCCGGTATCCCAAGTTCCTGACTGAGGCTTTGCCTATGCGTAGAATATGGCCGAACACTCTTCTGTTCCAGTTGATGGCATCCCGCGCAAAGGCTTCTGTTGATTCTATGAATGAGCTTCCCTTAGCCCAAGCAGCATCCGTCATTGGCCGGAATCTGTCGTGCGTC